GGGGGGGGGGGGGGGGGGGGGGGTGGCCTGCACCGAAAAAATTATCCAGGTCCAATCGACCGTCTTGTAGCAAGACGGCCAAATGTAGCAAGACGCCCAAATTATTTTTTTGGCTCAGAAAAGGACCCCCCCCCCAAATCCAATCCGGAAATAATCACGCCGTAAGACTCAGCCTGAAAGAAGGAAAGAACATCCCCGATGATGTTTCGCACACACAACTAACTGCACAGCTCACCTCTGAACTAATGTCTCGACGGATCGAGAGAGCGTATTTTTAGCAAGCGTGAAAATGGAGCCTGGCCATATCCTTTTTTTCTATGACACGCATCTTGCCTACTGCTATCGCTGTGTTATTTATGATAGTCTCGGCGCCAGCCACTCTGTCGATGTAAGAGTCACGCTTGTCTCTATCTCCTTCCTGATGCCCCTCACTTCCCCGCCGAGCCAAGCAAGGCAATGTTAACATGGCCGCGCTCATGGTTACTGCACGAATCAGTTCGCTTTCCCTGCGTGTACTTTTGCACGGTCTCCCCAGAAATACAGCAACTTGATTTTCTCCGTGTAGCATTTGTTTGCTGAAGTTTGGAAACCGCTCGTTCATGTCTCTCTTGCCGGGTGTACGTGATGAACAAATCAGAATGGGGTTGTACATATGAATAATGCTTTCACCGTTCCCGCCCCGATGACGCCCTTCTTCCTCACCCTCGCGGCATGTCCTCGACACAAACGATACTAGAGTTGGAGGTGGAATAGTTTTTTGTGGTGGTTGCACAAAAGTACCTGCAGTAGGCTCGTGCGTCTGTTGATTGGCTGGCTCGTGTGATTTTCTCGTCGTACAGAAGAACGGGGGGCGGTCCATCATCACCAACTAGAGAGGAGGGTGGTATCCATCATCGTTCGCTAGAGGGGGGGGTGGTATCCATCGTCAGCTAGCGAGGGGGGTGCTATCCATCGTCAGCCGTGAGGGGGGGTGCTATCCATCGTCATCAGCTAGAGAGGAAAAAAAAACGTTGAAAAATTCCCCGGCTGGTGCTGCTGCTGCTGATTGTTTGAACAGGACGCTTCCGCCACCGCTTTAGATAACAGCAACAGCAGCAGCAGCAGAGGCGACACACCCTCTCGCCCACAATGAGTGTAGAGAGGTGCACAGCACAGCAGTGGTACTACATCGTCTAGGAACGAGCGTGATGTGTTACTGGTCCCGTGCTGTGATGTATGTGTGCCTCTCTCCAGAGCAGAGTCAGAGGCCGCTCCCTCCCGCCGCGTCGCAACACAATAACAACAACCAACCGATGGACCCACAGAGACCCAATCAATATCTCTCCTCTCGCTTCCTCCGCCGAAAGCTAGCAGCAGCAGTAGTATAGGGCACACCCTGCTCCCGTCCCGCTCTCGCTGTGTGGTGTGTGCAACACACGCTGGTTGGTGGGACTCCCTCTCTCTCCAGAGAAAAAAAGGCGAAAAGGCCGGCAGCGTTGAACAACAACATACAACGGAAACAACAACAACAACATCATCAGCGATGAACCCCAGACCAACCAAACGTTCCCCGCTTTCTCCGCCGTCGCTAACAGCAGTATGTGTGTGTGTCCCGCCCCCCTTGTCCATGTTCCCTGTCTCTGTAGTGCGTGTCTTGCCAGTAGCAGCAGCAGCGTGTGCAGCACGGCAGTGCGTCGTGGTTTCTTGCGTGCGTGTAGTTTGTTGCCCAAAAAACAAAAATGACGCCTCCCGGCCGAGAAGTCGGGGATGCGTCCATGTGACATACTATATTTGCACAAACGGTGTGCTATCTCGAGACACCGAGCACGGATTGCAAAGGTAGCGGTTGGGACAGCTCGGGCAAAATGTTACTTGTTGTGCGCAAGTTTTAGTTTGCAATTTGGTGCCAAGATGGTGAAATGGGCTCGAGTCTGCTGGGTTATTTAGGGCGCGCAGACACCAGACAGACAGACATCAGACAGCCATTGCGAAATTTTCACGCCCCTGGGCATGAAAATTATTCTTTTTCTCGTGCGCACATACATCCACACACGATCCCTCTAAACAGCTTTTTTCTTGCAAAACAAAAAGCGTACCCCTGTACGGGCCACTCTTTTCGCAAAAAAAAAAACCTAGTAACAGCCAGTACGGTCGATGCTGCAGCAGCAGGATGCCGGCGTTGGCCGCCCAGCGTTGCGTCTCATCAAATTGTTCCGTGCCTTGTCCACTACTTAATTGTCCCCCTATCGTGCTCAAAAACGCAGTGATTACGCCGCTCCACAGCGGGAAGAGCGGGCTGTCGTGCACCACATCCGTCGGGCCGGCGCAGTATATGCGGGAGGAGATGCTCACGCCGTCCCCGCCGCCCAACTGGGGACAGCATTTCGCGACCACGACCGAGCGCGAGCCGGGAGAAATGGAGTTCAAAGACGAGGTAAATACGAATTGGTGAATACGTCCCTTTCATCGCACACACAAAAAAGGGTATTCGATGATGCTGCATGCGAGCATTGCAAGAACGGTGGTGATGATCAGACGCCTCTTGTTGGGTTGTTTTTTGTTGAATGGGCCGGTGTTCTACCGACCGTTCACGTTCTATTCCGTACCAGGTTTTCAGCAACCTTTGCAGGCTTTTCGCACTCGCGAACAGTTGCTTGCCGTGTGCATACTCTCACGGAATATTTGTTCTCCCTTACTTGTACTTGAATTTATTTTTGTTCCTTAGGCTGTGTAGACCGCCGCCCGGCTGTGCGAGGGATGTATCGCAGTGGCTGCGAGTCTGAGGGGGGCACTCGCTCGCCAAATGCCCCCCTTGGCACGGGTGTTGTCGTGTTCTCGTACCGGTTGGCCTGACGAAGCTCGTGTGAGGGACAAGCCGTGTCGTTTCATTTTGTTGTGCCAGAAAACAGCGCTTTCAGTATGCTGCTTCGTTTCTATATTCCTGTACATTTCTGCCGTGGACCACATAGCTGTGCAGTAGATTAAGTTCCCCGGCTTTACGCCGATGCAGAATCGCAACACATGATGCTCGGATGTCGGTTGCTAAGCTACGGTACTGGTCTTGGCGACGGATCTTACGTCGTCTCCAACAGTCCCCGATACCCGATGCTGTCCCATGCCGCGATCTTTCCAAGCAAGGTAGACCGGCCGCAAGCACCAAAAGTAAAAGATCACCCCGAGGATAAATACATTGTAGTGATGGCCAGGGCTCCACTTGCGCAACCAACATGTTTTCCGTACGTACATGCAAAATCGCCCGTAATATTCTTTCCGTCCATCGCCGCAAACAAAATTAATGGAAAACCCTGACTTTTTAGGAGGACCGCGCTCGGACTGCCATGACTGATCGGGAGGCTGACTTGGAGCTGGGTGATAGTGGCTGGTGCGAAGTTCGCAAGACGCGCTACATCAACTACATCACGGTGACCTTGACGCACGTGCTCATCTTCCTCGTGCTGGGTACCCGAGGGTACACCATCGTTCGCGACACGCTGAGCGACGGGTGAGATGCGGTGGAGATTAAGGTTGTGGTTGTGATGAGTACATGTTCTCTTTCTCTCTCTGTCTCTTATCTCGCTCCTTCATGTTTTGTGGTGTGTTGCGGAGGGCGTGGTAGCTCGTCTCGTCTCGTAGGCTCTTCACGATTTTGTCGACGGAGAGGCTGGAGTGTCGCACTCGCGTGTGTATGTTTGTGATTGATTGCCATCGACGGCGCTAACCCCCTCATCAATTTGAAGACGTCGGTGTCAGCGAGTACAAATCAATCGACGTCCCTAGAAGAGGGCCAAAATTGTAAAGGCGGGCGTCGTCCATGATGTCACTGGAATCTCCTTGTATGTGTGTATCTTCACGTTTAGCGTCGCGACCTGACCGACTTCTGAAGAGGCATCAGTGTGTGTGTTTTGTTGCATAGGCGGGCGGGTACTCACTAATCCTGACTTTGGCAAGAGCGAGTATTAGCCGTTGACCTTGGCAGCATCTCCCGGGGACTAGACGAGACATTCACAAGGGGTTTCCGCACCGAGCTACATGGCCCATTGCCCCCTTTCCTCGCAACCCATACATGACCTCGCCGCTCTTCTCCCTCCCCCGCCGGTCTGTTTCGGTGTTGTTGTCGCATCCCTCTCGCAGGTACTACCTTCGATGCGTGGCGTTTCTGTACTATCTTCCGGCCTACGTTTTCATGCTCTTCAGCATCGACTACCTCCTGGCACAGGTGAGCTGTAGATAAACCGTTTGCATTGATGTCATAGCCCTTGCAGCCCGGCAGTTTGTCCTCTCCATGAAGGCTATCGGCAAGAGACGGGGGTAGGGAGACTTTCAGCAGAGGGCGAGTGCGCCAGTTGGTACCTTTGGGCGTGAATATCTTTCCATCAGGAGACCGCGGTGGGTTGTTCGAAATCGTTTTGATCGATGGCGTCGTTGCCTGGCGAACGTCCTCGTATTTGTTCCGCACGAGGACCCTCTTCTTGGTTTCCCGGAGTGTTCCTGTGGACAAGTCAGGTCTTGACGTGCGTCCCATCAATCGCGTCCAACAGCCCACCCTGCAGCTCGTTAGCGTTGATCGTCTCCGCCACCCGCCACGCGTTCCCCGCTCTCGTCATTATTTCTCCTGTTGCTGTGCGCCGAGAACAGTTCATCTACGCGCTAGGACCGATCGCCCACATGCAGGAGAACTCCAAGTACTTCAGCAGTAAGCCTTGCCCCCGACCGGCGGTGATGCCTAGAGTAACCATTCAGATGCCGGTGAGCAATGGGCGAGCGACGCAGACACAAATGAGAGGCCGTCATGCAAGAAGAAACTCAAGCTTTTTGCTGCTGCACGCATGTTTCGTCTGTTGTGGGCAGAGATGAGACGAGATTGGTGTACTGTCCTTTCGTTGGAAAACAAAGGCAATAGAAAGTGTTGGTGCCCCACACAACACAGCTAGCTTGATACTGAACGAGGCACAACGAACGCACATCGAAAAGTCTTACGTGAACATGCAAACAGCAGATTTGCAGTTTCTACGCATATGCTCTTTGTTTATCCCACTTGGGCTCTCATTTTCGTGGCAAAATTATTTTGAAAATTACAAAATATCACACCCTCGAAACAGCGCCCGTTTGCGCCATACCTCCTCGCTCAGACTAAGCATATCCTGCCCCCCCCCCCCGTGTAAACACGTCTAAACACGTCAACAGGTGTATAAGGAGAACCTCGTGGAGACCATCCTGCCGTCCATCCAGTCCGTCATGACCGCCGTGCTGCACTACAAGAAGATGGGGGGGGAGGCGAACCTCTACATCAACGACGATGGCTTGCAGGTAACAAAAACACGCTACAGCAAGTATCTCGAACGACACGATAGCGGATTCACGATGCGATGCGATGCGATATGTGCAGCAAGCACCCTGGTATGGTGTGCTCTGATACTAACAACTGCAGGCGGATCAGGATAACTGTTCGCGGGTCTATTCGAGGCTATCTTATCCTTGCCGTTACGTTTCGGGCCAGGGTGTACGATACTTGTACATGGATGCGTCCTCTCAAGAAAGAGTCGGAGTTGAAGCAAATGCCCGGAAGAACAAGGGGGGCATGGCATGGCAGTCTGGGGCGATGTTGAGCCTCGGAGTGGCGGCTCAGCAAAGTTTCATGATGATTTTGTTACGCGAACGAATCGCACTCCTGTGAAGACACTCATGTTGCCTTGCTGGTTCTACTGCTTCCGCCTTTCTTCGACCTGCTCCTGCCCGCCGCCGCCGCTGCCGCCATTTCCCGTGCGGGGACCGAATATAACCGAGGAAAGGTCATCTCGGAGAAAGAGCGCAACGCACGGGTGTTCGCCTACAAGAGGCACGGCGTGTCGTACGTGGCGAGGCCGCCGGCGTCCATCCGCCCCCGGAAGGGCCTGTTCAAGAAGGCCTCCAACCTTAACTACGGGCTGAACGTGGCCATCAGGGTGGAGGAGATCATGGCGGAATCTGGCGGCCAGGTCACGGATCCTGTCGAGGTGGGTCGGGCGCAGTAGCCTTGGCAATGCTTTTCTATTAACTAAACGTGTTGGATGAAGCATGCAATCGGGGAAGTTGCGTCATGGGGGAAATGCTTGGGTTTGGGATGTAGGGTCTGCATACCCCCTCCCTGTCCTATTTTCCTCATGAAACTGTTCAGTTTCTCGCGAAGGTGTTTGGTAGGGCGACATAAGGCTACGGCCGCAGCCAGGCTTGTTTTTTTATAGGTGTAGAGTTTGGAGATTAGGGTTATTGAGGTCTGTACGGTTGAGGGGTGGGTCACGGGTGTGATAAGAGGTGCAGTGTGGTGAAGGCTTCGGCGATGGCGGCTGGAGAGTGGTACGTTATACCAGAAGAGTGTGTTGACTACCTTCCAAAAGGTAGCCGGATAAGTTCGCTGTGATGTGCGTTGGTTGCTGGCGTGGCAGTGTTTGTTGAGGGCGCAAAGTATGGTCGTGCAAGTCTTGCAGTGAAACCGAACGGCGACGTTCTTGTTCTTTTTGTGCCGTGTGGGAGTGCTGGATGCTGGATGCTGGATGCTGGATGGAGTGCGCACCCGAGACGATGTTCCTCGGAAGTCCTTCGTCCACCCCACGTTTGTTGTCTGCTGTGTTAAGGCATGAAAACAAGCCCTTTCCTTTGGCCTTTGTTCAGCGCCATGTTGACGCATGTTGTCGATACACCCGTGGTACTTGACGGTTCCGAAGAGTGTTTGCGGTGAATTGTTTCATCTGACGTTTTTTTCATCAAGACAATGTTAGACGGTCGCGCGTAACGCAGGCTCTTCAGCTGGTGAGCGGGGAGTTCAACGATGAGTTCTTCGCGGGGGGTGATGTGCGCATGGGGGACATCGTCCTGTTGGTCGACTCGGACACTCGAGTGCCCGAGGATTGCCTGTCCAAGAGCTCAGGCAAGTGGTCTTCATGGAGGCGTCATAGAGCAACAACAGCAGTAGCATGTTTACATAAAATACCTCAAGTGCAGCAAGTCTTTTACAATTGATGCGAACGATTTAGTGAATACGGTACGTCGCTCACATGGTAATTATTGTGTGATTCGAGGCGGCTTTCGCGGCAGCGAGCTCTGGCCGCAGCCCCGCGAGCTCCTCCTGCTGACGTGCCAGCGCAGCGGTTGTCTCCTCCGCGCGCTACTCTGCTTCCTCAGCGCGCTCACGTAGTTTATTCGGCGACGCCAATGAGGATAACGGCCTCTGTCGAGGGTTAAACCCTCGACAGAGGCCCGAAACCCTCGACAGAGACCGGTGTCCTTATTGGCGTCGCCGAATAAACTACGTGAGCGCGCTGAGGAAGCAGAGTAGCGCGCGGAGGAGACAACCGCTGCGCTGGCACGTCAGCAGGAGGAGCTCGCGGGGCTGCGGCCAGAGCTCCATGTGTGATGCATCGCGATATTCTCCTCTTCTTGTCCTTTCCGTCTCACTACAAATCACGGCGGAGCCGTGTTCTCGTCGACGCCAATGAGGATACTGNCTGCGCTGGCACGTCAGCAGGAGGAGCTCGCGGGGCTGCGGCCAGAGCTCCATGTGTGATGCATCGCGATATTCTCCTCTTCTTGTCCTTTCCGTCTCACTACAAATCACGGCGGAGCCGTGTTCTCGTCGACGCCAATGAGGATACTGGTCCCTGTCAGAGACAGAGGCCGGTGCTCTTGCAGTATTCTCCCTCTGCCAAGGGTGGCTATTCCCTTTCGTGAGATGTAACGAGGAGAAGAAGGTAGAGAAAGAGTCACAGAGGGTCGAGAGAGGAGAGCCGGAGGCTACCCGTCCCTTCCCTCTGTAATCTGCCATCGACTCCGGAAGAGACAAATCTCCTCGTTGCTTTACCTTGCCACTTCTCCCGATGGCAAGATACCCCCGAGGAATCATATCGTTGTATGTGCACAAATGGTTAGTTGTGTATTCCGACAGGTATCCTCCACATAATCGTAATTATCGGTCTTCCGGTCCGTGTGTGCTGCGTGCTCGTGAGCAGGAGAGTTCGAGCGGTACCCGCAGGTGGGGTTCATGCAGTGCAAGACCACTTCCATTCGCATCCACAACAACTTCTGGGAGAACATGATCGCTCGTTTCACCAACGACGTGTACAGGTGCAGAAACATCAGGCAATGTAGCGAGATGCGTGTTCTATTGTTATTGGGTTGCTCAGACTCGGGTAGAGGAGAGGATGAAATATTTGTTTCACCTTATATTCATATTCATTCTGACGGGCGTGTGTGTCCCCCCCCGCAAAAGCTGAAACCCCGGCAGGCAAACGGGCGGTTCCTAACCGCATTATCGGGTATGTGTATCTTCTTTCTTGTGAGAAAAGTCTCCGGCACCTTTTTTTGACGCATCATCCCCCTCCCCGCCCCCCTTCTGCATTTGTCACGAAATCTCCCATGGGCATGCGAAATTTCTTGTGTTTGTTGCGCAGCGTGGGTATTGCCATGGCCGTGTCGTCTGGCGACCCCGCTCCCCTGGTTGGCCACAACGCCTTCCTGCGATGGTCGGCCATCAGGGAGGTGTCCTGGATAGACTCGAAGGATGGGGAGCGTAAGTTCTGGTCGGAGGCGCACGTGAGCGAGGATTTCGACCTGGCTCTTCGGCTACAGGTGGGCAGGCTTGTGCCGGATGTTGTTTTGTTCATGGCGGTCGGTGGTTTTGGTTCGTTTTCAGCTATCCTGTTTAGTTTTGTTTTTTGGCGTGCGGTATTTTGCACTTTTAGTGCGGTGGATTTACGGAGAATGCAGGAAGAAGTTATCGTACCGTGAAAGGCCTCCATAAAACCCGCAACGATCGATGTCTCACGCTATTTTCAGTCAACGCACGTTGACGCCGCGGCTGTCTTTGCCACAAACCGCTTTCCCTTGATTACTGATTCGACACCCGTGTTCTTGCTATTTCATCCTCCGGTGGCTGTGTGCAGGCGCGTGGTTACATCGGGCGTTACTGCACCTACACCGGAGAAGGGTTTCAGGAAGGCGTTTCGCTCACGGCAGCGGACGAAGTCATCCGCCTCAGGAAGTACGCCTACGGCAGCTGCGAGATCATGCTCAACAAGTTCACGGTACGTGCCCTTGGCGAATCGATTTCCCTGTTGGTGGATATCGTTGAGGAAGCTCGTCAATCGGTTGCAGTCTGTGTTGTTTCCGTGTTTCCGTTGCAAGTGCACGGTAGAAAGGCAAGGACACATGGACGACGACCAGCTGGGTTGCGACGTTTTTGTGCCGGGATATTATGTCATATTGGGCTGTTTTGTCTGAGGCAAGCTTTGTTTTATGCTTGGTTAGCCGTCGGGCCCGGTTCCCAGCTGCACGTCGGGCCGAAACGGGCATTGAGCAGTTGTTCTCCACGTCGTTCTTGTCGGAAACTCTCCCTCGTGTGGCTGAGTGCCCGGGTGTGTGCATTCCGCCTTTGCTAAGGAGGGCTGCCTTACATGACGCCGTTACGTGCGACACCCTCACATGCGTCGTCGTTCGGGGGACAGAGGATGTACCGCACGCCCGCCGCCTGCCGTTCGTGTCTTGGTACGTTCAACACGGAAATGTGCATCCACAACGTAACGCACGTCTCGCTGTTGTCTGTGGTGGTTACGTTTTCCTGTTTTGTCTCTTGGCAGAAATGGCCCTGCTCCGGGCCCATCACGTCCATGTTCTGGCGCTACTTGCTAGCCGGAGGGGTGCCCTTCCCGGCTAAGATTCGCATGGTCGCCTACCTCTGCACGTATATCTCCATGGCCTTCGCCTTTTACGGCATCGTGGGCTACCTTGCGGTGAGTGCGGTCGGCTCGGCTCCACTCATATAAAAGCTATTTGTTAGTAAACGAGCGTATCAAGTTACGCTCGTTGTGTGCGGCGTGATTGGGTGTGGTTGAAGTTCGCGGGGCGTTCGTCTGGCGAAACAGGACGATTGATCCCGCTGACATTTGAAGGCGAACAACGTTGTGCGCAGATGCCTCGTCCAACCTCCCTTGCTTAATGCGAAGTTAAGCGAATGCGATGAAGAAGATGTGCTAGTGGTTGACCTTTTGGCGGGGACCACAATTTCCTGGGGAGCGTAAGGACCAACTGTTGACACTGCTTATCACTTCAAAACATGAGTGTTTCGCCCTAAGCCCTTTCCCCACCCTGCGGCCTCCTTTGACAGGTGTGGATCGTGCTTCCCGCGGCCCTCAAATTCCTCGTTAACCCGTTCGACATCCTCATCACCGTGTGCTTCGTTTTCGGCGGGTGCTCCGTCTTCGGCGTGGGCATGATCACGTACCGGAACGGGTACTCGAGGAGGGCATCGCTGCTTCGATCCTTCCTGGACCAGCTCGTGAACGCGCCCATCATGCTCCTCTTCTTCTCGCACGTGCTGTGGCATCTCACCGTCGTGTGCTTCAGGTATGTCGCCGACGAAGGCGATGGTGTGGTCTTCTTTTCTGTGTGCGTGCCTTTAACAGTATTACAGCGTCGACCGCGCTAATCGGCTGACCAAGGAGAAGATGTCAACGCCAGCGGGTACAATGTGTGTGTGTGCGTGTGCGTGTTTTGCGCCACTGAGGCAACCCATTGTATGTTGATGCGTTGAATGCTGTTTGTGGTTGGTTTTAGCTACGTGGGTGGTGGCTTCCTTGCTTAGTCGCCACAGGCGCCTCCGACGGGCTGGTTGAGAGGAGTGGACCGCTGTCCCCATGCTTCCAAATGGTCTTGGACAAAGAAAGCGACTTGATCTCAGCTTTGTTGTCGACATTTCGGATCTTCGTGCTTCGTGACCACCCCCGTGCTTTCTGTCTGCTATTATCACGTGTTGCCCCTGCCCCTGCTGCTGCTGCTGATGCCACAGGTACTTCTTCGGCATGACTGTGGAATGGTCCGCCTCGGTGAAGGAAGTTTCGCAAAACGACTTCTGGACGGAGGTAAAAACGTTTTGTTCGTCTTTGTCCCGTGCGCTATTATAACTGCGTACCACCTGCCAGTGTGTTGGTTCCCTGTCGTCATTGCCGTTGTGGCTCCAAGCGGTTCGTGTAGTCGACGTGTGCCCGCTGCTGTGTTACCCACCCTGGTGCGTTTTTTTTTTGTCACTTGCTTGCAGCTGCGTTCTCGCTCGCGCCGTTGATGTTAGGCTCTGTCCTGCCGTCTGTATGCCGACCCGCGGTTGGTTTAGTTTAAGCCTAGCTTGCAGCGGCATGTCTGGCAGCATCCCTGTGACATGGCAGCTTGATACGACCGATAATAAGTGTTGTTGCTTTCCAGGTCCTGTAACGATGCAGTGCGCGTCCTCACGAACAAAGCACCGTCTTCGTAGTATGTAACGCACACATGCGGTTCCACTTTTTTTTGTTCCTTCTTGGAATGTCACGGAACACGGGACAAACACGATACGGATCCCAGCGTTTAGCTTTCCCTTCCCACCCATCACTCTCCGCCGCCCACTTTTTTTTTCGAAATCCTGTCGTCGTCTATGCCACCAGGTGGTCAACACGTTCCGGAGGTATGGGCGCACGTTCCTCATCATGCTGCTCTTTGCCGGGTTGTTCGTGGGAGTCATGTGGTACTTCGAGGTACGCAACTGGGCTCCGGAACCAACCGGTCTAGGCTAGTGGTGCAGGCATCAGTTGTGGACGCCAACACCCAACAGCTGTGTGGCTGCTGGCTTGCATGCGAAATGCCGTATTTTCTTTCATTTCCGAGGCCGCTTACGTAGCGCAGCGACAACCTGGAAAACAGCGGTCTGAGGTTTTGATGAAAATCACGTGAAGTTTTTGTTCTTCTCCTGGTTTCAACAATTGCTGAGTTTCATTTTGCGTTTGCATTTAACATGCAGCTCTTCAGCTGGTCACGCGCGTACGCAGTTCAAGGAGCTTTCCCGACTTGTATTCAAGTATCGATCCCCATTCCACGTATCCCCCCCCCC